AAGAGTTGAAATTTGAAGTGACTAAGGAATTGTTTACATATGCTCCGATGTAAATCTAATCTTATAAGCAATCTTTTCTAGTGAGACACTAGATCCAAGTGATGAACAAACAATACAATAAAAAGCTACTTATATCGCAATGTAACAAGAACTCAATTCAGAAGTAACAAGAACTACAAATGAATCCTAACTAACCTCAGTTTCCTTTAGCATATGTATATGTTATGAATATATGTACCAACTAGCCAAGAAAACCATATGGATGAATATAACGTATATGGGCGATTTTAAAATCTGAATCAAAGATAATCAGCACTGCATAACTTCTTTTGTATACATCTTTGGCGTAATAACTATTTGAAGCCATAATGTGTAAAATAGAACAGGCCAGAGACATGAGACAAGACCCAACAGATGTATTATCTGAACGGTATCTCAAAGACTGAAAGCTCATGGCTGCTCCAGCTAAAGCTCATGGGTCCCTGTAAGCAATTCTTGGTGATTTGATTTGCTAAAGCCACTGCCACTTGGCACTACCATTGCCGCAAATGGTACGATGGGCCCATTTTCAATATCAAAGCACACTAGGATTATATAAATTCAGTGGAGAATCCACATAAAATGCAGAGTATTAAATAAAACAAAACACTAAAGTACCTTACTAATTTTCCCAGCATATTCCACCAACCATAATTCAGAAAATTCAATCAAAACTAATTCCCATTAAATACCAGAAAGCATATGTAGCCTTTACCTTTCCACTATATATAGAACCTGCAACAAAAACCTAGTAGATCTATCTATCTAACTCTTCAAACTAGGTTATCATGTCGACTGCAACTTCTGCTCCTATCATCAATCCAACTGAGCTCTTTCAAGATAGTCTTGGAAACTTTTACTCCAGAAGGCTACTGCTTCATACAGCCTATCAACCACCTACCACAGCATCACCCCCAATTGCAGATGCTCATGAAGCATCACGCTCCTATGCGCGTCATATGAGCCTTGATGCAAATGTTGTCATGGTTCTATCAGTCCTCTTCTGTGCACTACTTTGCTCACTTGGACTGCATTCTATCATAAGATGCGCATTGAGGTACTCCAATTTATTATCATCCGAAGCTGGTGACGAGCTCGCAGTCCGCTTGGCCAACACAGGAGTCAAACGAAAAGCCTTGAAGAGTTTCCAGACGGTAAGTTACTCTGCAGAGCTGAAGCTGCCTGGCCTAGATACAGAGTGTGCTATATGTCTCTCAGAGTTTGTATCGGGAGAGCGAGTCAAGCTTCTGCCAAAGTGCCAACATGGATTCCATGTCCGGTGTATAGACAAATGGCTCAGTTCACACTCATCCTGTCCCACCTGCAGGCACTGCCTCATTCAGACCTACCAAAAGATAGCTGGCTGCAGTGAGACGGCTTCATCACATAATCAACCACCACAAGACAACATTAGCGTTCATATAGCACCACTAGAACCGGAAAGATTCATACGCGGGGTTAGCTGAACACAGTCAACTAGGCTTAGGTGCAGTTATGTCATAAAACCTTATATATGTATTGTCGTGCCTTTAGAAAAATTAGTCGAGATCGCAAACTATCTGCAGTTCAATATTGAGGACAACGTTATCAATTTCCACTGTAAATTTTTTAAAACATTATGACATGTTGCTTTCTTCACTCTTTAACGCCTGAAAGTGTACATTCCACAAAACGACATTCCAATAGAAGATCTTAGGCTCACGTGAGTGAATGAAACCATAAACAACTCAAAATCCATAGATAAGGAAGCTGAGAAGACAAAACACTTAAAAACCAACGACTCCAAGTGGGGGCAGCAATCAACTTAGTCAACTAAAAGAATTCCCAGGTGATTAAAAACATTCGATGCCACTAGTTTCTTGTTTAGTAGTGATTATCATATTGATTAATTAACAAATTAGCTCTCCGGAATAGAAGACTTTTCTTGTTTTTTGTCTTAATCGACCTTTAAGTATGTTGAGTAGACTCTGATGATGATGATCAGACAAATATAAAAAAAACGTGAGAAACTAAACCTCCAAGAATTCTCAAGACCCCACAAGAGGAAAGAGGCCTTTGTTATATAGGTTACAACTAGAACAAACCGCATAAAGTAAAAAAAAAAATTGGGATCTGAGGATGAAACCACCATTGAGTCAAATCAGATGATGCCAAAATGGGTGGTTTTTAATATTGTACTAATCATAGAAAGTAAATGGTACGATAAATCAACAACCAGTGTTTGTGCTGTCAAATAACAAGATCTGTTTTCTACCAAATTAAGGCCTCGGAATCTACACCATTACCGAGCACAAAAGCCAATCATTTAACACTGGAAGTAAATTGTAACAGTATTCCATAAGTGGTGTGGTTTATACTTCGTACTGCCCCTAAAGTGACAACTAATCATTACAGAGGAAGAAGAAAGGGTGAACTAAAACTACTGCATCAGACCGTAGTTTCCAAATTCAACTAAATATAGACATGGACATCATCGAGAATTGAACAAGGAATGTCACAACAGATAGTTGGAATTATTGACACGAAGCATTTATACATCAAAATGCACAAATTACCAAAATCAAAATATTCTGTGATGAAGATGGAATTGCAGCTCTATAGATCTAAACTCTTCGTTGGCGCCAACTCAGTAGTAGTCGATACTGAACCATTATTCGTTGCYGGTCGCCGGGTCAGATCAATTTGGGCCTACTAATAAAGCCCATTATGGCAATGTTGTTGAGCTAACACTCTCTCGAATTATAGTGTGAGATTAATTTCATTTCCACCTAAAATCAGGCCAAAATTCCCTGGCATTAAAAAGGACATGGCTACCTCTTACTCCTTTGAAATTATTCAACCGACTTTAATAATTCAACTACATGTCACTCATTTTGTAAAAAGTACTACACCGTACCCCAAATAGAAAAGAAAATCGGTTATCTGTTTTAATTTGGTATATCACTTATTGTTTATCTATTTTTTATATGGTTAAAAATGATTTCAAACGAAAAAAATTAGTTAAACAATAAGTAATTTTACTATATTGGACGGCTGGTAGATGCTTGTATGATATTCATTTTCAATGTTTTATTTGA